CCCCGCCCCGCCCCTTCCCTGCTCTCTCTCTCAAAAATAAGTTAACATTAAAAAAAAAAAAAGAAAAGATTCTCTTTCTCTAAAATAAAAAAATAAACAATAATTTAAAATGACAAGCTTCTGATAGTGCCAGAACATGAAATTCACTATCTTGTAAGTATGGTACAATAACTAATGCTCAGCATAATAACCATGAGTTTTAGAAAGAGTCATTTCTCTCAGGTTTCCTAAATACTAGGCAAAAAAAAATGTGCAACAGTTTTTAAAGAAAGGTTTACATCAAAATATTTTTTAAAGTTAGGGGGGTTTGGTTTTATGGGAAAATTATTTATCCAGAATACAGAACTCCCTGGGAAATGAGAGAAATAAAATATTAATACTTCTTTTACTAATGTTCCTCTTCATTTTTCTCTTAAATACTATTCTGTACTTCTATTCCTGGTCTTATAAGCAGTTCTTCAGCTTCAACACCACTTCTTCCACAATCAAGTTAACGCGTAGAAGAAAGTATGAGAAATGCCTGGTAATATCTATTTCTCTGTCCCCTTTAATTAAGTTTTCTCAATTTTATATAATTTAAGATCTTTTTGATACCAAAATCACAAATCTTTTCTGGGAACCAATGGTTTTATAATAAATTGCTGAGAAAGGATTCTCTATATTTACAATCTATGTGATTTGTGGAATATTGTATGCTTTCTGAGTTCAACATAACTTTGAATAATCAATTTCTACGCAGAGCACCTAAAGTATTGTAACAAACATAGTTCCCTTCTTCAGCACTTGGTAAGAGATTCTGGCATATAATAGGCAACCAAATTGTTTGCTGAGAGAATGAATGAAAAAGGAGATACATTTCAGAATAAAGAAGCAATTAAAAGTACTCTGCTCTATCTCATTCAATTACTAAGACATTTGAAAAGACCTATAAAATGTATACAATACTGAATTAAGATAATATTGTTATATTTTACTGAAAAAGATTCTTAGGGGCAGCTGGGTGGCTTAGTCCATTAAGTTTCCAATCTTGATTTCAGCTCAGGTCATAATCTCACAATTCGTGTGTTAGAGCCCCACTTTGGGCACAGCACAGAGCCTGCTTGGGATTCTGTCTCCCTCTCTATCTGCCCCAACCACCTTTGTGCTCTCCCTCTCAAAAACAAATAAACAGGGGTGCCTGGGTGGCTCAGTCAGTTAAGTACTTGACTCTTGATTTTGGCTCAGGTCATGATCTCACGGTTTCATGGGTTTAAAGCCCTACGTTGGGCTCTGTGCACTGACCAGGTGGAATCTGCTTGAGATTCTCCCTCTCTCCGTGTCCCTCCCCTGCTCTCACTCGCTTTCAAAATAAACGTCAAAAATTTTTTTAAAATTAAGATTTTTAGAGTTCATTGATGTTAACTCAATAATCCTCATAAAAACTTTGTGGTGTGAAATGTTACTTCCTGATTCACATAACAAGTCAGTATCAAAGTAATATCTCATTTGTTCAGAAACTTCTAGTATTAAGACTTGAGATTCCCAAGCTTAAACATAAATCACAATTGCCTTGGACTCTTTTAAAGTACAAATGGAAAGCCCCACAACAAGAATCCCCAGGGATGAGGCCTGGGTATTTAAACCTGGAAAAGCCAGGGCAGGGTGCCTGGGTGGCTCAGCTGGGTGAGCATCCGACTCTTGGTTTCAGCTCAGGTCATGATCTCACAGTTTGTAAATTCAAGCCCCGCAACAGGCTCTGTGCTAACAGTGTGGAGCCTGCTTAGGATCTCTCTCTCCCTCTCTCTCTCTACCCGTCCCCCACTGTCTCTTGAAATAAATAAACTTAAGAAAAAATTTTTTTAACTGGAAAAGCCCTATAGGGGATTCTAATGACAGCCAGGAGGACACCCACTAACATGAATGTACTGAGAATGAATTAAGTTTACTAAGACTTTTCACACATTTCTAATAACTTCAGTTCTCCATAGTCCTAATCCACAACAAAACAGAAAAAGATTCAAAGGGGCAATGGAACTAAGTATAGCAATGTAAAAATGAATAGCATGTCATTAAAAAAATGAGACAATGAGCAAGTATAAGCAGTCAAAAAATACTTAAAGTCTACCAGCCAGGAGTTTTCAGGGTAAGGGGGAAAAAGCCCTAATATCTCAAGTCCTCCCAAAGGGCTTCGTTAGAATACATACAAGTTTTGTAAACATTTACATCAACATAGACATTAGACTAGACATTATAGTTCAAATGCGTTATATTTAAAAAGAAAACACATTAAAAATTTCCAATGAAGTGGTTAAAATTAAATTAAATTTGGCATTTAAAAGGGGCAAGATTTTATTATGTAGGGAACTTACTTTCATAAAACAGCTTAATCCAGGATAGTACCAAATAACTTGACCTAGCTAACATTCCTTAGTTTGACTACCCTCTTCTTCTTCAAAGATGTTGCCAAGTGCATTTTAGCAATTTTCAATTTTTAAGATGACAATGCTTTGCCATATGATAAAGGCTTAGAAAGCAATTATTGCTTCAAATCCACAGCAGCTAAACATGACATAACAATACAGTACTTCTCACTACAAAGCTTACCTTGAAAGGAGCCACAATTATAGGGATGTAGAAGCTCTAATATTTTAACTAAAAGTCTACCACATTAGTTATATTTCCTATACAAGATCCCCAATCTAATATGACACAATGGTGGCACACACTAAAAATATTCATAATAACAAAATTCAAGATCTGGGAAAGGTTTTAGGGGAAAGTGGAGTCCTCTAAGCACAACAAGTTATAGTTCTTTGAGAAACTTAAAACTGTTTTTAAGGAATTTAAAACAAACAACACTTTCACTTATAAACACGAGATAACCTTTTCTTTCTCTTCTTATAAAAAGGCAGAAACAGTTACTTTAATGAAAAATATTATGTGCAAATTTTTTAAAACAAACTTGAGAAAATGTAAAATAACACACTGGTTCTGCCTCAGCTCAAAGTTCTAAGACTCCAGATGCAAAAATTATTCATCTGGAGACTTCAGACCAATGTTAAAAACCATCCAAAACCATTCTCTGTTACATGTAACGTGTCAAGACAATTCTCCCCACTTGCCCTTCCTCTCTCTCTCTCAAAATAAATAAATAAATTTTAAAAAATGTTAAAAAAAATAAAAATAAAAAATTACTGTTTTTCTTATTGTTTTTGTTATTCTCAAACCCTCATCTCCCATGTATTATTTCTGGTTATTTCACTCTCCTAAGAATTCCCTAAAAAGACCTTTCCAAAACATTTTCTTGTATGTAATATACGTAAAATAGGCCAAATCCTTTATCTAGCAAGTACATACACATATACTTACAATACATTATAAATGAGTTTACCTACAAATTAGACAAGCAAAATAGCTTAAAACCTCTAAAACTCTGATCTGTATTTACAAACACCTAGAACATATCACCAAATAAAGATTCCAAATAACATCCTACTAGAAGATAACAATCTGAGTTTTAGTCAGAATTTCAGAATACATTACACTCAATAGCACCAGGAAAAAAGATGGCAATGTCAAGGAGAATGTAGAACTTACACAAATCATGTTTTTTTAAAAAGACTTTATTCCCCATAGAGTGGCAGTGAACCCAAAGTAACATAATCTCTATTGCAATTTTATAAATTAATTTTTTCCCAAAACCCTGTATTGTTCTATACATGAAGAACTTGATTCATTCATTAATGTGGGGGAAAAAAGTATCATATAAATCACTGGGGAAAAAATTAACCCCCAGAAAAGAAGGGGAAGGAAAACAGGAGGGATTTCACAAAACATGAAAACATATAAAATGCCAATAATTATGGCAGGAAAAAAGTTTAGTATGGCCAGTAATAAACCAAAATTTAAACTATAATGAGATGTCCACTTTAAGCTACAAAAAAGAAAGGTCTCACACTTGAGAGTAAAGACAGACACACATCAGGTCCACTGTAGGTAGCAATGTAACTGGTACAACATTTCTGGAAGGAGTGATACTGTGAAGAACCCTTTTTAAAAATTCAAGCCCTCTGACTCAGTAACACACAAAGATCTATACCCAAATATTTTAAGTGTGGCATGATTTAAAATGAAGGCAATGAGAACACAACTTCCAACAACACAGCAATCCCCGAATATAGTATGATGTATCAAAAGACATCTTTATAAAAACCATTAAGAACTTCAATGTAAAAATCACTTACACACTGTTAAAAAATCAGGAAGTTCAATCTATTAATCTTTATATACAAAGCTGGCTCTAGCATATCACGGAGTCCAAAAATAGACAAAATATATAAATAATGATTACCTAAATCACAAATGCAAAAACAAGTAGCCATCAAAATTAGGTCATATTATAATATGACCTTATTAAAAAAATCCTTCTTCACTATATGAGGGAAAACAGAATTTGAAAAGTTAACTATAAAGATATAAACATACCGCTCAAAGTTCAGATACTTCTTAGGAATACCAAAATGTCACCTATAGTCAACTATTACTGTACTGAAGAGGAAAAAGAGCAGACAATTACTACTAGTATTTACTAGGTCACTTATTTACCAATCCATCATTTACCCATCAAGTATTTATTAAGGGTCTAAAATGCCTACTATTCCAGGCATGGAGTTTACATTGTAGTACAGGTATCCCACATTTCCCTGATGAGTAACTGGTTAATTTTCTTGAAATTGTAATATTAATATGAATGAGCAGCAAGCGCAGAAAAGAGAGACATGGAAAAAGAAAAGTTTGTTTTTAGAAAAAAAGATAAGGTGAAAAAAGTGGAAAAACTGAAACCAATCGCCCACCACCTCCATGCAGACATGCATCCCATTCTCCCGATACAACATTCCAACTTTACGAAGCCACGTGAAATTTTTGTCTGCTTTATAATCCAGCTAGGTTCCTGCCCATAAGATTAACCAACAGTTTGGAATCAATAGGTTAGGGACCACCACCTTAATATATTCTCTTACTTTTGCAGGAGAACGTTGTTTCCGTTTCTTCTTTTTCTGTAAGTCTACTGGCTCTCTGATTTGCTTTTTGTCTCTCATCAGTTGCTCAGACACATCAGTAAAAGTAATTTCCTGCTTTACACTTATCTGTTAAAAAAAAAAAAAGAGTCAATTTTACAAATAAACAAAAAGTCCACTGTGACAAAGCCACTGCACGGTTAATCCTTTACTAAGCCTACATATAGGTGTTTCCAAAATGATTGTGTGTGTGTGTGTGTGTGTGTGTGTGTGTGTGTGTAAGTAAATAATGTGTTGAAGAGTTCATTAACAGGCAATACAGTACTAAGAATCAAGAGTATACAAACTGAGAAATAAGCCAAGATTTTACAAAAATCTATCTGGAAGAGAATATTAAAGACATTCTGGGAAAAGATTATCAGACCACAGAATAAAGCAGAAGTCAGGACACACTAACATCAATTTCATTCCCATATTTAAGGAAACTGATGAAATTAATTAAAAGCACAAAAAGGGGCCTAATTCGAAAATTCAGTAAAATACTGGAGGACGAAGGGAGTGTTTAGACTTCACAGGAGGCTTTCTCTTGATATACAAAATATGAAAACAACACAAAAATCCTAAAAGATAATCCACATCAGGGGCACCCAGGTGGCTCAGTTGGTTAAGTGACCGACTTCAGCTCAGGTCATGATCTCGCAGCTCGTGAGTTCGAGCCCCACATCGGGCTCTGTGCTGACAGCTCAGAGCCTAGAGCCTGGAGCCTGCTTCAGATTCTGCGTCTCCCTCTCTCTCTGCCCCTCCACTGCCCACGCTCTGTGTCTCCCTGTCTCTCAACAATAAATAAACGTTAAAAAAAAAAAAATTAAAAAAAAAAAAGATAATCCACATCAAAAGAAAGGTCAAAAAATGAAAATTTAATTATCTGTAAACTCAACAATGACAGTATCTTAGCTTAGCCTGTATTTTCCTGACCTGTACATTAAATCATCACCAAATAAGGATGTTTATAGAACTGCATATAACTTTAGGTCACTGCTATGTATAAGACAGGATACTAATTACACAACAAATAAATGCTACAAGAAACATTAAGATGTCAACATTATTCCATCTTCAGCTCTGTTTTCACAGATATGAAAAGAGGTGCTTGTTCTAAAACAAAAACGCACCAAGGTTCTTAGATCAATAATGGTAATGTCAATTCTCATCACAACTGAAGATCCTCAGTCATCCATTCTTTAATACTACATTTTCAATCTATCCTTGAAATGAAAACAGAATCTTAAAACTAAAAACCGCTCAACAGCCTCTGAAATATATTACACATCCTGACCTTTCCACCATGTAAGAACACAAGAAGTGTCCTTACAATAAATGTACAACCATTACAACAAATGTACAACCATAAATGTCCAATAAATGTACAACCTGGAAGAGGGCCCCTACCCTACCAGGCTAGCACCCTGATCCTGGACTTACAGCCTCCATAATCAGGAGAAATAAACTTCTGTTCTTTATAAGCTAAAGTAAAACAACAACTCCTTAATAATAATCCAGGAAATTCAATGTATTAGTGGTTACATTTTTCAAAAAATACACTAAAAAAATGGTGCACAAGATTATAAACATCTTACAGAGTCAGTGGAAAGTTGGAAAATATAGCTATGTAGAAAGGGTTCATGAGGAAAATGCAACATAAGCTAGGGTTCAGGCTGACAAAATAAGGAATTGGAAGCTTTCATAAATTCCTGAAGTGCAGGCAGTATAAGAATCATAAATCAAGGAGAAGCTTGGCACAAAAACAGGAGGTTAATGATTAGTTAATAATTCTTTCTATCAAGTTATAGAATAATAGTAGTGAACATTCTTAAGGCTTATTTTGGTATCATTATTTGGAACATAAAATAAAATGGTAAAATCACCACCAACAAGTCTTTGGAATACAAACATGTTCCCACCACTGAAGTGATGTGTACTGAATATAACTAACGACTTGGGTTCGGTGTGAGATAGAAGAATGATTACAGACTATGTAACCAGTTGCTGAATGGCTCTGTCCCATTTTGCAGGGGCACGAAAAAGTAGTTCCAACATTTCTGTCAGTTTCTACACTGCAAAGAAACCATGAAAATGTAGCATGCAGCACTAAGAAACAGGAATCCTTTTTAGCCAAAGTGCCAAGTAGAGTAGAAGACAAATTCACAAATAAATCCTGTAATTACCAGATATTCACAAACCAAAGAGTGAAAAAGATTAATAAATGTATCTAAGCCTTTCAGTTATTTCCACATATATAGAAAATGGTATTTGTACTAGCATTTTTTTTATTATAAGGAACAGTTTTAATATACGAAAGCAGACTCAAACCTAGAAGTATCAATGGATCAAAACATTGTGAATGTCAGGCACACAGGAAATTACATTTTTAGAGTGCACCAACAGGCTTATTACTCATTAATGGAATAAAGTAATCTCCTCTATATATAACATAATAACACACTAAAGTATACTGATCCAGCCTAAGGTGCTGAGAAAAGATGGAGGTAAGCTGAGTCAGTTGCAAAAAAATCTGAGAAAAGTTAAGTCTTCTTTGTAAGACAACCATAATCAATAAAAACATGAAACTTTTTTAAGCAAGACAAAAGAGACAATAATCATCCCTAAGTTGTCTATTCTTTCCTTGAGAACTGTCTTTACAAGAAAATCAAACTTTTAGTGTTATTTTTCATCTAAAATAAACCAAAGTATAATTAATCAAAGCAAGCATCAGCAAATACATGATATATAAAGAGAATGGTTTGCTGGATTTTTCAGATATACTCATTAAAGCATCAAGAAAATCAACGAACTAAGAAATATGTCAGATAAAAAAACAAAATAAAAACTCTGGTTTCTTCCTCGTCACTTAAGCTTTACCATTCTACCTTGTCCCATGTACAACTTCATACCTGCATTTGAGACCTGAATTTCAATGCTGTCCTCACTACCAATCCAGAAATAGCATCAAACCATCAATCAGCCTTAACTACCCTTCTTTCAAAAGATAGGACTAAATCCAGGCATTTCTCTACCTAAACTTGAAGCCCTCTCTAGGCCTCCCACTCTGAGACTCAGGACTACCCTATCTACTTCCATACTCCTCTAACTTCTTCCACAACACCCTTAGAAGAGGTAGAGTCCTATAGTGTCATGCTTCCAACCCCTTGCCACAGCTCAAAGCTGGTTCTTTATTACTACTTCTAAAATGTATCCCTTAATTACCTTGTTTTCCTCATCTTTTGATCTTTCTCATTTCATTCTAACCTTAAATATAAAGAGGTCTCTGTACACTGAAAAAATCCTTCCTTTGATTCCCATGATCACTAGTAACTCAACACCAGAATCCAGAACCACTCTTTTTCAAAACTTATTTCATTCCTGGCCCCAAAATAAACAAATGATCCTACTTACATATTTAACTATTTCATGCTCTTGTATCTTATCTTGATATCTGCAAGTAAGATATTCTTCTTCGGTATTTCTCATAATAGCTTTACTTACTCATGCAACAGCTATTAAGTGCTTGTTGTGTGCTAAACTCAGTCTAAAATAATACAACAAAAGCTTTAAATTTACTAAAATTCTAATGTGTACATAACATAATTCTAGATATTGAGAATATATTCTAAGCATAAGGTCTCCTTCTCCATTTTTTACTCCTTAAAAATGTACATGGGGAGTTTTGATGCATTATAAAAAAATAAAAAATAAAAAAACAACCTAGCAATTCAAGACAGCACATGTCAGGCTCAACCTAAATGAATGGTACAGGGAATAAAGGCAGGAATCAAAGGGAAAACTTAATGAGATTGGAAATAACTGCAAAAGGCTTCATGGATGAAATGAAAGACTTAATCAGAGCTGCAGGTTTATCTATGTATCCCCCTTTTATTTTTTTTCCTTCCAAACCTGCTACCCTTCCCAACTTCTTTCTTCCAGACTCAATAATGCTAATAAGTTAATATGACAAATGTGAAATTTACTAAAATATGTTACCAGACAGAGTATACAATGAGCAAATATTTCATTTGGTTGCCTATTTTAGTCTACCCAATACCCACAGCTCCCAGGAAAGAAGGTGAGTCCCTTACTATCATTTTGGACTCTTCCTTCTCCTTATTCTCCGTATCTTACCATCCTTATTCAGCAACATCCATTTCACTCTAATTAACTTTATCAAATTTGCTGCTTTAGGATATTATCATCTCCCCCATATAGTCTCCCATGAAAAAATTAATATAAAACTGTTTTCTTGTCATATCCCTAGTGAGGAATCAATAATAGCCCCTTGTTGCCGGTGGTATCAACTATAATCTCCCCAGCTCAGCTTTCTAGATTCTAGATGATCTACTTTACAGAAAAGATGTAGGTCATTTGGCAGAAGTATCTGTCCTTACCACTCCTCCTCTCCATATCTGGAGCCATATGTTCAATTTTCAATTTCCTCTCTACTCTGTGCTGACTCTGTTCCTATCCATCTCCAAGGCTCTACTGCTTCACTGCCTCTCTAAAATAATTTTCCTTATTCCACCAGCTGCGTTTTCTCTGCCTAAAAGCACACTTATAGTTCCCCTATAAAGTCATTTCTTGTAAACCAAAATTTTTCTAACAATTTCCTTCTTCTTATGGACAAATTTTTACAAAGAATAATCTGTGATAAGAATATTGACAAAATAGGGGCACCTGGGTGGCTCAGTCAGTTAAGCATCCGACTCTTGGTTTCAGCTCAGGTCATGATCTTGTGGTTCATGGGTTCAAGCCCTGCATCAGGTTCCACGCTGGCAGTGTGGAGCCTGCTTGGGATTCGCTCTCTGCCCCTCACCCACTCATGTGCTCTCTCGCTCAAAAATAAATAAACTTAAAAAAAAGAAAGAATATAGGCAAAATAACTGCTCCAAAATTTAGAGAGATGATTATTCTGAGAGTAAAAGTAGTACATATCCATATAAAAAGGATGTGTTTATCACTAGAAGGGAACTGTTCCAAAGTACTGCCTAGGAAACAAATTAAATCAAGGTGACTACAAATATAACAAGTGTTTGAATGAAGGAAAATGAAATCACAATTAACTACACTGCAAACATACT